CCCTAAACCCTAAACCCTGGACCGACGAGGCCTCGATGTTCCGGGCGCAGCAGCGAATGGCAGAGTTCAGCATCACCTGATTACTCGTTGGACGTAGCTGACTGAGATTTTAACACAGAAGAACCGAAATACTGTTGAGGGTTGATAGGGTTAGGGACACTGAACATCTATATACATATTTTGAGGGTTTAGGGAGAGTTTAGAGCAGTGAAACCAAGTAGATACAATCCTGGGTCCTTATCGTGGGGTCTGTGAGTACTATGGTGACGAGGGCCATCTTCAAGATGCACTCCTATACTAGAGGGACTAGTTGAAGCAGGCTAGATTAGTTGTGAAGATGGCCGACAGCTTGAGGCCTCATTAAGCTCTTAGAGCGCTGACACCCGAGTTCGCTGTGACGCGGGCCCTCCCCAGCAAAGGGGACACCAAAGCAAAGCGCGAACAAAGGGGTGAAAACACCTGATTTCTATACCCCGCGACCTACCCAGAACCCACGCAGCAACAACAATCTACTACATCCTAAATACGCACCCTTAGAAATCATTAGGGCTGTAGAAAGAATACTTTGCTCACCCCAGGCGAAGAACATAGGGTCTCAACCACGACCCCCTTGTACATACAACCCTAAACCCTCCCCAAATGACCCTTATGTAACCCTAAACCCTGACAGGCGCAAGGGACGCAAATTCTTTCTTGTCGCACTTTCCCAGACGAACTACCGGTAGGATCATACAGGGAATGTGAGGTTTCGGGTTTAGTAAGGGGTATAGTGAGGACCCCAAGCTACTTACTTTGCTACGAAGCTTCTTCAGGCTATAAAACGCAAAGCTTTCGGGCAATGTTGAGCCTTACATGGGGGTAACTGAACACAAGCCGGCGATGTTCCTAGAGGGGGCCTTAGGGCAGTATGGTGTATGTATATATATATATACATAGGTGTCATCATAGTACGATATATCCCTACATATATATATATATATACATATATATATATAGGCGGGCGCGGGATTCAAGACGCCCCTCTTTTCCCTGTGAGTGTCTATAAAGTCCTGATTTTCTTGTGTTTACCACCTTACTGGGGGTCCTTACAGACTCCACACAGGTTCTGCTCCGAGAAAGCCGTCCTGTTGCTCTTCTATTAAAATCCTACGAAATTGCCTTTGGCTCGGCTCCTAAACACGGCCGAATATTTAAGACGCCCATGGGCGGTTGGCACATTTCTCCAACAGAATGACTCGGCACTTAAGACTTACCCAACACACCTATGCCGGGCGCGGGGCCTGCTGTACAGATTTCAGCCTAACCAACTGATCTTATGGTAAACACCCGATTCCGGAAAAACATCGCCCTGAAACACCAGAAACCTCTGTGTTTTTGATTAAAGCCAAGGTACGTCTTAAATCCCGCGCCCGGCTATATATATATATATATACATAACTAAAAGTCAATACATATATACGTATATACGCCAATGAATACAAGCATAAGTAACAACCTACATATATACATGTATATATATATATACATATATATATATATACATATCTTTTT